GTGTTTGGGCCCTTGGGGGGGGGGATCGCTTAATTATCTCTGTTGACCCAGAGATGCTCCAGAATTCTTTTTGTTTCATCGCAATCCCCCTCATGGGGGGACACCCCCCGAGGAAACACAACGCCAGAAAGGTCACAAACGTTGCACAAACGAGTGCGTGTGTGTGTGTATGTGTGCGCATGTGTATGTGTGTGTGTGTGTGTGTATGTGTGTGTGTGTGTGTGTGCGTCGTGTGTGTGTGTGTGTGTGTGTGTGTGTGTGTGTGTGTGTGTGTGTGTGTGTGCGTACGAACCAGAATCCTTTGTCCCCGTTGCTGCAAACTATTGACCCTCTGCTGTCTTCATCGCTGTTGATGTTTTGTTTTGTTTTTTTGCCTGCATCATCAAGGTTTCTTCACAGGCGCGTTGACCAGTACTCGTTCATGCCGTTCTCTGTCGGCAATCGCAACTGCATCGGGTACAACTTTGCGCTCAACGAAGTCCGCACCGCCATGTGTCAGCTCCTGCGAAGATTCAAATTCGTCGACATTGGGGTGAGTGCCAATTTTCTGCGTGCGTGCGTGTGTGTGTGTGTGTGTGTGTGTGTGTGTGTGTGTGTGTGTGTGTGTGTGGCTGTGACTGTGACGGCGTCTGTGTGTATGCCTCTGTGTGTGTTGGTGTTTGATGCACATGTGCCAATTAAATGGCGTTTGTGATACAGCTGTGTACTTTTGAACCAAGAACTAACCCGCTCATTCATCCACGTGCCACCCGCCTCCGACCACAGCACGAACCAATTCTGCAGAATAAACTCGTGCTCAAGAGCGCAAACGGCGTCAAAGTGAAGATTCAGGTGTGTGTGTGTGTGTGTGTGCCTGTGTATGTGTGATTTTGTTCCATATGCTCTCGATTGTCACTTGTGATATTCTCTGTGTGCCAGTCGCTCACACCGACGCAGACATGCTCCAGTGTTGCATTTCTTCACTCACATGACGTTTTCTCGATGATGTGTGAACGTGTGCTCGTATGCGTGTTTGGCAGAAATTGGACAACTGAGTCGCTGTTTTATGTCACAATGTATGTATGTTTCCTTGTGTTACTCTTCTCTGTCGCTCGCCCTCGCCGTGCGTTTTCTCGTTCATTGAATGCGTGAGTACGCAGTCAGTTTGTGTGTCGTGTGGTCTTGTATCTAAGGACACGTTCATCGCAGCAGGTTATCCCCGCATCCACCTGCCTGCCAACCTTCATTTTCTTCGCTCGGCTGTAAAACAGGCTCGTTTCATTCCTCAGTGTTTACTACTGTCCAACAACAGTGATGATTGAGATGGCACAGCAGGTACGCACGTGCGTGCATGCGTGCGTGTGTATTGTTCACTTCTTGCGCAGGAGACAGTCGAGCGTGTGGTTCAATCGTCCAACGGAGTCTTTGAAGCCGCCCTCTCGGTTTCGCAGCATCCACACCTGCCAAACATCGTCGTGTTCCACGCAAACACACGTTGCACTTGATTACTGGACGTCAACACACACACACACACACACACACACACACACACACACACACACACACACACACACACACACACACACACACACACACAAGAATGTACAAGCAGTGAGCCCCTCCCCCCTGCTCCCCTGCTCCCTCGCCCTCCGCGGTCGCCACAGCATCGCACCTCCTTGTATTTCGTGAGCAGCGGGATGAGCCGATTCGCCAGGTCCGTTCTGTCGCAGGGCAAACAGCAATGCACCAATGGCAGGTGGGTGTGAGAGAGATGTGGGCGTGAGAGGGATGTGTGTGTGGGGGGGGGGATGTGTCGTTGCTGCTGGTGGTGGTCAAGGAAGGAGCTGTTGCATTCAACGTGCACAGCTGTGAACACACACGAGTGCACGTGGCACTCACAGCCACGACTTGAAACCACAGCACACAACATGCACAGACGCACAGACAACCACCACTGCTGCCGCACCTGTGTGTGAGTTCGAGTGACGCAATTGGCGCCTGTGCGCGCGTCTGCAACATCGCCAGCCGACACGCAAAGAGCGCAAACTCCGACACCAGCCCAAGCTCCCGCACCGTCTACGCATACGTGTGTGTGTGTGTGTGTGTGTGTGTGTGTGTGTGTGTGTGTGTGTGTGTGTGTGTGTGTGTGTGTGTGTGTGTGTGTGTGTGTGTGTGAATGTGCATCATTGTGTGATAATGAATGTGAATGTGAGCAAAACGGCAAGCCCATGAACACGAAACAAGAGGAATGCACAAGTAGCACATGCACACACCCAACAACGACAACGCACAGTTTGCGCTTCTTCGTTGAGATCGCGCCGGTCAGCGAGTGCCTCAATCAGACGCATTTGCATCCGCAGCTCACGCGTGCACGACTTGAGCCCGTCGAGGTTGAGCCGGTCCCAGCTGCAGCGCAACAACAACAACAACACCAACAGCAGGCACGCAGGCGACACGGCCAGGGACAGGCGCGCGCGTGCGTGTGTGTGTGTGTGTGTGTGTGTGTGTGTGTGTGTGTGTG